TTCTTTCATTTTTTGTGTTAATACATTATTCGGCCATGTATCTGGTAGAGAAATGTTTTCTCTTTCAGCCCATATATTTGGAGTCACACTACTTTCCTGTTTGGTCGAAAATGTTAAAGAAAATCAATAAATCATAGAGTAAAGAACATCGTTGAAGAAGAACAGTAAAGGTAGGTTTTTAGTATGAAATATATATGAAAAGTGTATAGATAGGAATGGTTAAAAGTGATGATACGTTTGGTTGCCAGACAGAATGTTCAAGATATTCATAGTTCATTGATTCTTTAACCCTTTGACTACCGGCGATGCGAATTCGTGTCCTGGTTGTTTAGGGTCTGAATAACTTTAGAAAACATGATCGTTTGATTATTTTATGATATGAATTACATGAATATTTGCGTTTAGGATATTTGTACGGTTAAGACTATCTGTACCTAGTGATGAATATTGGTTGTTCCCTAATATGTCTATCAACCATTATGTGGTTCAATGAATTAGAACATAAGTCATTGGACAACATTTCCCAAGAAAGGATAATCGTTATCAACAGGATTTTTCATATTAACACAGTCATTCAAGAGTGTTATCTATAGTAAAGGTTCTAATGCATTGACCACATTTGATAATTAATGTAGGGTGCACTTTTTGATATAAAAGGTCACGAAGGACAAATGTCGACAACTTCTGACTCATATATATTATTTTTCTTTATCTTTCTCTAATCGTAGAATGACGCCATGATCTCTGTTCTGTTTTCTCATATTCTTTCACGAGCCTTCGAGTAGATTCTTATTCGCTCTGCGATATATATATATAAAGGTTGGTCACAAAGTTTCGACCCCTCTCAGTACATCGATGATATGTGCAACAAACTTATATGAAGTTATTGATCTAATTACATCATTGTGTAGAGGAAGAAAAGAGCTATCATCTAAAAAAAATTATTTCGAAATATCTAAATCTGTTACAATGTTATGATCATTTTACTAATCTTGAATGGAAAATTTTACGTTGCGATTTTTGCAAAAACAAAAAAATTCTTTAATGTTTGAATCATTAAAGTCGAGTGAAACACTGTATTCTACATGTTTTTACTAGATATTTTTATATCATTCGATAGAGTTCGACGAGCTCTACAAGAATGTGAATATGAAAAAAATTCTGATGCTGTTTCCAATACAGAACTTGAAGGCAGCCAGAAAGACTAATAAAAATCTTGCATATCTTGCATTAAAAAGTATCCCTGATTTTCGGTAACTCTAGCTGATCGACTGCTAGTTTATATTTCGAGATGCATTGTCACACACTGAAGCTGAGAATAACGTTTTTGAGCTTCGTGAACAGACGAAACAATCTATTAGCTGAAGTTATTGAAATTTCAGCTTACCCTCTATAATGCAACATATATGAATTTTTTACTAGTCTTCCTGATTTGCTTGAAGTTTTACAGCAATGTCCAACTAGAGGGTGTGAGTGTGAGGGTGTGTGGGTGTGGATGTGTGGGTGTGGGTGTGGATGCGGATGTACGTCTGGTCGAACAGAAGACTCATTCACGCCAACCCAACCCCAACCACAGCCCGACCTACACCCACCCACGCCCACATCCCACACTCACACTCACGCGCACCCACACCCACCCAGCCACAGCCACACCTACACCCTTTACTTGTTCTGATGATTTCACTGAGATTGTTCGAGTCAGATTTTGATTTTTAGTCTATTCTTGATGAGCTCATTCAAATGATATGGTCATAGTCGATTTCTGATTGTTTGGCGAAACGAGGTTTTTAGCAGAGTTTTTTCAGCGCCTTTTCTTATTTTGATAGTTTCCTTAGGGTTTTTGAGACTTTGCGATTTTTTCCATTTGCAGATACTCTCTTTTCGATGGTTCATTGCATTAGGCATAACAAATGCGTAAGAAATTCGGTATTTTTAATGTAGTTATCGTTTCTTGCGCTCTTGGCACGTCCACTTACTGTCGTGTATGGCCATAGCTGTTTCGTGAACACTGATGTTTATTATCGAAGACGATTAGTGAAGAGTGCTGCTATGGCGTCGATCTTTTCGTATGTTGCTGAAGTATGGTGCGGTTTACGACACAACGTCAAAATACAGCTTGTATACAGCGTCGTAAACAGCCGTATACAATCGTTTCAGGTCGACGTACCCATCAAATAGTGGTACTCGCTTTATTTAGTTTGTTCTTGCAATAACTCGTCCCTTACACATCAAATATACAAAAACAAAAACATATGTTTCATGTGCTGAATATTCGATATCAGTGAATTTTGTTTTGAGAATTAAAAGCGCATGAAAGAAATCCTCTTGATTAGATCTCCCTCACTTCTCTATCCAGGATATTCAATTTTATACAATGAGTACACTTTTAAATGAACTTAAAAGTGTCTAATTATTTGTTCAGATGGCTCAAATAGATTTAAAGATATGTCATTGGAAAATTTCTGAGAACTTTTTCTTCATATTTTACAAGTAAAATATTTTTAATCGCTATACAGTTACTCTTCTCATCTCCTTACAGTGCTACATACGTCACTTTAGATTTAATTATTTGCTGAAGATTAGTTCAGAAGAGGCATTCTGCAAGAAACCTTTGTTTATTATGAGTCTATCACGTGTTGCTGGAGTCACTTTTCGTAATCGACCTTGAAATATCACGACAATTATCGTAGCAATTGATCGACATATGATCACTAAGCCACCGTAGAGTTCGACAACATTTGATATTGCCTCGATTATATTGCTATACTCAATGTACGAATAACTGCATGACACTGGCGCGCATTGAGTAAAATAATCCTCATAGGATATATTACTTGTGTAATCTTCGACCATTAACTTGCTTACAATTAACTCGGCGGTTGCATTGGGAGAGAAATGACCAGATTTTAAGGAAGAAATATTTATTGCTTTGAATGTGTTAGTTGGATCGATACATTGCTGATCATAGAAACATGTCAATGTTGATTGCAAGAGTGCTTCAAGTGGATAGCAGCCGATCATTATTCGTTTTGATGGTTCAACACATTTTGAAGATAAACCACAGCTACACTCACCATAAATCTTCGGTTCAGTGTGTGTAGTCTGTAGAAAATCTATGTCTGATGGAGTACTAAAAGCCCAACTGGTTGATAATGCGCTCATTATCATATTAGCGCCTGTCATCTCACGAATCAAAGATAGAATAGTTAGAAACTCGTTTGGAATTGTTTCTTGGAACTGATTGATCAACATTTGCATATGTTGTTCGAATGTATTAGATAATAAGACGTAGGCACTGATGAAATTATTAGTAGCAAGTTGTGAGAGTGAATCATTCACTGCTTCTCGAGAAAGTTTACAGAATGAACTGAGTAATTGAAATTGTCCAATGGTTGATGATCGATTATCATTCACACTAAATCCATAAGACACATTTTCTTGATCATACAAATAATTGATCCATTCGAACAAGACGAAGTTACTTGAACAAATATGGTGAAAATGAGGTACAATTGTAAGAAATGATTCATATTTGATTGACACATCTGAGCATGGGCATTGAAGAGAATCAGAAAAGCGTTGAGCTAAGTCTTGATAAACAGAGAACGATGGTTTTTCAATTGTGCCGGTCACTGATTGTGGTGTGAAAGCAGAAAAACTACAGAAAATACATAAAGTGACCAAAACCAACATGACATGGAGTTTGTTTCTGATTTGATGCTCATCAGAATGAAAGAACCAACTTTTAATAGATGGTATCAAACTACTACGAAATAGACCATTTTCAATCTTTTCAATAAATTGAAGAGTAATAAGACTGAGAAGCTTGAAAGCAAGTGATAATCCACCAAGAACACCGATGATTGTGGTGAAAACATTAAAGAGATCATTTCGACGTTCATATTGAAATGTACATGATAATGCAGAACACGCGTCATAATACGAAGCAAAGGAGATATTTGATGACCAGAAATCGACCATAAGACGACTAACGATGGATTCAATGGTTTCATTTGGTAAGTTTCGACTTGGGTCAAGTGCAGAAAAATTAAACGATTTATTTAAAGATACTGGCATATACCAATCAATCTGTCTCATGCACGACTCATCATAAAAGCATTCTAATGTTGATGCCAATAATGCTTCAACTGGAAAACAGCCAACAAAGAAGTTGGATACATTGAAAATTTCATCGAAAATTTCGAGATTGAATATCAATGAAATAGATTTTCATGGGAATATGGCATGATTGTGATAAATCACAGGAACAATTGTCGTAATCCATTGGTTTGATTGTCGTGATATGTGAAGCATTATCTATCTGAAAGAAAACATCAAAGTTACCATTCATCAAGTGATTACCACGATCAGTTGCTTGAACAAGTTGAATTGTACGCAAGAAATTATTGATAGTAGTCATTTTCCAACTTTCAATACGTGAATTCATTTCAGATTCAAAAATCATTTGAGAAACAACTTGTGATTCTACAAACTCCATTTTCAGAAAAGTTTCAACAGCATTAACAACTGTCTTTTTCGCTTGTTGACAAACTGTAGCTAGCAATTTAAATTGAGTAACAGCATTCACTCGATAGTCGAAAATAGGATAGAATTGATCCAAATGAATTTCAATGTAATCTATCCATCTTTGTGTTACGAAATCACTAGTACATATTTGATGGTAGTATGGTTGAATGGTAATAAAAGTCGAATAACTCGTGGATATTGAAGTACATGGACATGATATACTGTTTGGATATATTTGTTGAAGTTGAATATATTGAGATTCGGTTGGATTGTGAACAGTTTCACGGAAGATATGTTTAGCTGATGATGAATAAACTGTTATTATGAGGATTGAGATAACAAGAAAAAATATGTATAGACGGGTTGCAATGCGCTGATAACGTAAATGGTGTTCATTGTTCGATCGATTTTCGAAAATGTTCAATTCAAAAATAGCTTTGTTTATCAGTGTTCTTATTTGACGAATACGAATATGTACTAAAAGTTAAAAATAGAACAATTCTTTTTCGAATAAGTAGTTTCTAAATAGTTCTGTGAAGTTTCTAAATAATATTTGCTCAAGACTATATGTGATTAAAATTGATAACTACTAACTCGAAAATCTGTCTCCTGAAACACATAGTTGCAAGGCAAGCCGAGATATTAATTTCGGAAAGTTTGTTTTAGAGAATTTGTAAAGGTCAGTTCTATTGACGAGTAAATTGAAGAGCTTGGATTGTTCACTCAAATATATTCAACTTGAATGTCTGTTAGCTTTTTTCTATTTTTGCTTGTAATTATCAATGACATCTTCAATAATATACGACCATAGTTGATAGTTTTTAGGAGATTTATTTTGAGTATAACTCTGTCATAATGCGATCTTTTTATATGCGGTTTTCGAACAAAACTATAGTTACTTTCTATATTACATTAAAGGATCCTGTCAACCCTCCATATTGATCTCTAATGAAATGAGACGTATATCAATCTGTACGGCTCAATTTTTGTTCAAAGAGTTTTTTGAATGATTTCTGACCTATGAAACTTGTTTGTGCTTTCGCTTCCGGTTTTGGTCTATTGAATAATTAAGTTTTATAGAATTTTTCTATTGATCACCTATTGAATGTTTTGGACTTTTCAATATTTCTAGTTTGAGTTTTGTTATTTTTTGCTTTCGACTTGATTTTTAATGGCAAAATCCGCAAGTCTTTGACTTGTGCTCATGTTATCTTCGAGTTTTAGAAGTGGTGAAATGAGTCCTCGACGAATCATACTTGTTTATATCGCCTACTGATACTCTTCATATTATTTCTATATAAAATAGCTATGGGCAAACTTGAGGTTATCTTGTTTCTTATTCTCCTCAACTACACCTACTCCACGCTCATGTAACAATATTTTACAGGATTTCTCATCACAAAGAATTCTTTTTCGAAAAATCTTCTAACAATAGCCATAAAAAGCTCTTTGATGCCAGGAATGAATATATCTAGAATCATATTCAACTTACAAGGAATCTTTGGTGTCTGCTTGGGCTTTCGTAAATTTCTTAGATATCGAATAAATGTTGGAATAACAAAGCTGAGCACCATCGTCAATCCTGCAATCAAACCAATGACTTTGTTTAGTACAAATATGAAATCGTGACGAGCAGTCTTCGAATAAGTGCATGAAATAGGTGCACATTGAGCATAGTATTTTTCATATGAGACATTTATCATCCATTCTTCCACCATCATGCGTTCGACTATTGATTTAATACTTGAGTTCAACTGGTATTGGCTGTGCTGATCAAAAGGCATCGATTTGAATGTCTCACTGGTCAGTAAGAATGACATCAACTTATCTAAGCATGACTGATTGTAGAAACATTCGAGTGTCGAGAAAAGCATTGTAGTCACTGGTAAACATCCACTTGAGAGTCCAGGAATGTTTAATAGTAGCTTTCGATTAGGATAGAACTCAAAGACAGAAGGAAAGCCGAACAAATCGTAAATATTCGAAGTATCAAAACAATCCAGAGTAGATTGGCAGTTACATCTAGATCTGTTATTTATTGTGTATGAATATGGTGCCAAATATATAGAAGTGTTAAATTCATCATCAATATAGTAAGCTGCTTCAATATTTGTTTTTAATCCTGACATCAGCCGATTGGCCAGTGTCATTTCGCGTATGAGTTCTAATTCACTTACTAAATTATTCTGTTCTGCCATTTGAAAACTGTTGATATATGCATTTACTTGTGATTGAAGCACATTTTCGGATATGACGCATGGACTGATCAATTGAATTGAGTTTAAAAAAGCAATATTTCGCAAAATATTATCTTTAGAAAACCGACAAAATCCAGCCAGTGCTTGAAACTGAGCGCTACCAGCTGTTCGAAAATCCATTCGATCGAAATAGGTCGAGTTCGAGCCAAAATTTATAGCGTTGAGCCACCGAGAAGAGACGAAATCACTCGAGCAGACCTGGTGGAAACTCGTTTGAAGATCAACAAACTCACCATAGGAGATCGAAATATGAGAGCACAGACATCGTGCATCGAGAGGAAAATAGTTTAATTGATCTTTCATTGGATGTTGAACTTTAACAGTCGTTGTTCGTTGACTTAACCATGAAACCAAAGCAACCATGATGAGTGCAAGTATCATAAGCACAAGATAGACTCGAGTAGCAATCACATTCGAACGAAGTTGATGATCATCGTCTTTTTTTGTATTGTCAGCATCGGATGTGAAAAGGTTCAGATTAAGAAAATAGTTCTTTATATGAGACATTATCTGAAAGCAAATATGTATAGCGTCTGCCTGAATCATTAGTAGTCCGGTCATTGTTTGAATATCTTAGAGTCATGTGAACTATTCGATAAAACAACAGAATAGAAGCAGAGTTAACTCGGATCCTCTTTCACTGCAATGTAACAAAATAAGTAACTAGGAGATAAACAAATCTATGGAGTAATTCAAAGAAATTTGCTTTTTTTAACGTCTTCTTTGAATTTCACAA